GCTCCTCAACCCCCTGATGGGCCCTGCTCTGTGCGTGACAGGGGGTGGCGCCGCAACCTCCCCATCGACCCTGCCTTGAGTGTGATAGGGGGCGGTGCCCCAACCCCCCAATCGGCCCTACCCTGAGCGTGACTGAGGGTGGCATCGCAACCTCATGATCCGCCCTGCTCTGTGCATGACAGGGGGCGGCGCCCCAACTCCCCAATCAGCCCTGCTCTGAGCCCGACCAGGGGCTGCACCTAGGGATTGGGCCTGCCCTCTGCCACCCGGGAGCAGGCCTAAGCCAGCAGGTCGTTATCTCCCGAGGGGTCCCAGACTGGGAGAGGTCACAGGCCGGGCTGAGGGACCCCCCACTCCCCCCGAGTGCACAAATTTTTATGCACCAGGCCTCTAGTATGTAGATATAAAAGCCTAAGCGACCATTACAACCAGATGACTGGACAACTGGACAGTAGCTATGATGCGCACTGACCACCAGGGGACAGATGCACAATGCAGGAGCTACCCTGATGGTCAGTGCGCTCCCACAGCCAACCTCCCACAGCCAGCCAACCTCCGGTGTCCCCTCCCCACACCCCCACTCCCGGCTGGTCCCGATCGGCCATGATCGCTGGCCTGGCCGAGGGACCCCACCCGTGCACGAATTCGTGCACCAGACCTCTAGTATAAAATAAGACAAGCAGTGCAGCTGGTGTGGCTCTGTGGTTGAGCATCAACCTGTGAACAGGAAGTCACAGTTCAATTCCTGGTCAAAGCACATGCCCAGGTGGCGGGCTCAATCCCCAGTGTGGGGCATGCAGGAGGCAGCCAATCAGTGTTTCTCTCATCAATGTTTCTATCTCTGTATCCTTCTCCCCTCTAAAAATCAATAAAAACTTTTTTTAAAAAAAACAAAGTCTTTATCTTCATTTGCCTTTTTATGCATAACTGTCCCACTGCTGTCCCACCCCAGTGAATTTAAATGTCCTTTTTCTTATATTGTATACATATTGATGAAAAGGATTATTCTGTTTAAAATTGGGACACTGTCATTTTGCAACTTGTTTAACTATATAGCATTCTACCAAGAGAACAGACATCCATACACCTACCGATGACTCCATTTGCTGTGCCTGTGCGAAGGTGACCATCCTGGTGTCTTTTGCAGCACTTGGCAAGAGTTCCCAAGTAGTCTTCTGAGGTATTTATACCCCAAGGGCATCAAAGACGTTCCAAGGAGCACATGGGCATGGATAGTTCAGTAACTGCTTTCTAGATCAAGTTCCACACAAGCACCTCCATAAAACTGCTGTGCGCAGGCACACACCTGCAATCTGTCTTCCCATCAAAACTGTACAGAAGGCATCGCTCACCCAGCTTGAATCCGAGTTTGGTGTCCACTATATTTAAAAACCTTTAATTATATTTAACCTGTAAAAACCTTTGGGAAGCCAAACAGGACAATTTGAAATACTGGTCAATGAAGCCTCCTTTAACTGAGACCATGATATCCCCACCTAGTAAGAGAGGAGTTTCCACCCTAGCTGGGTTTGATTCAGTGGATAGGGCATCGGCCTGTGGATTGAAGGGTCCCGGCTTCGATTCCAGTCAAGGGGTCAAGGGCACATGCCTGGGTTGTGGGCTCAATCCCCAGTAGGGGTGTGCAGGAGGCAGCCAATCAATTATTCTCATCATTGATGTTTCTCTCCCTCTCCCTTCCTCTCTAAAATCAATGAAAAATATTATTTTTTTTAGCCCTGGCTGGTTTGGTTCAGTAGAGTGTTGGCCTGCGAACTGAAGGGTCCTTCAGTCGGGGGTGCATGCCCGGGTTGCAGGCTTGATCCCCAATGGAAGGCGTGCAGGAGGCAGCTGATTGATGATTCTCATCATTGATGTTTCTATCTCTCCCTTCCTCTCTGAAATCAATAAGAATATATTTAAATTTTTTTTTTCTTAAAAGGGGGGTTTCCAATAAAATTTTACCCCAACATCAACAAACGATTTGCTGTATGGTTCAAGAGTGCATTCATTATAAAACAATTTTAATATAAAAAAAACATGAACATGTGGTGTCTTATGGTCATGGCAAATTAAAATTTAACATTTCAACTTATACACAGTATGTTGCAAAGAAATAAAGATAAACAATAAGGCCTTCAAGCATAAAAATTTATTGTATTAGGGTGATGTTTTTGTGGTGGAAATTTAACAAATACAGGTTTCCAGGGAGAAAAAAGATCAATGTTAAATCTGAATCATTTATTTGTTTAATTGGATCATAGTAAACATCAACTCATGGTATTACATTCCACTGCATACATTAGATATAATAGCTTTTTTATTATTGATTTTGAGAGAGAGAAACATCCATCGGTTGCCTCTCACACATCCCCAACTGGGGAAGGAACCTGCAACCTACATATGTGCCCTGACCAGAAATTGAACCCACCACCTTTTGGTGTATATAGGATGACCCTCCAATCAACTGTGCCACACTGGGCCAGAATATAATAGTTTTATATTTAAGTATCAATGTTTATGATACACCAGAAATTACATATTTTTCAACTACTTAAATTTACACTCTCCAGTGGCTCTGAAAGCACTCCTCAAAGTTTATCAAATTTCTAGCACTTGCCCTAACAGGTTTGGCTCAGTGGACAGAACGTCGGCCTGCGGACTGAAAGGTCCCAGGTTCGATTTCGGTCAAGGGCATGTACCTTGGTTGTGGGCACATCCCCAGTTTGGGGTGTGCAGGAAGCAGCTGATTGATGTTTCTAACTCTCTATCCCTCCCCCTTCCTCTCTGTTAAAAATCAATAAAATATATTTTTAAAAAAAATTTCTAGCACTCATGAGAGTACAGTGGTTAAGACCAACCTTGACTTGAATTCTCGCTCCCACCACCACTTACATAGCTGCATCACCTTGGGCAAATCACTGAACCGCTCTGGGCCTGTTTCCTCATCTGTATAATGGGTTTAATTGAAGTACTACCTCAGCTCAAAATCCACATAGGATGAGATTAAACAGAGATGGAAAGCCCCCCCCCCCCGCCCCTTGAATCCATAGTTCAGAAACATTACTGAGACTTAGATAGATGTTAGTGAATCCTGCATAGAAATGTCTGGAGTGGTTCATCTATATAAATAAAAGCCTAATTGTTTGACCGGGAGTTCAACTGCTCGCTATGACGTGTGCTGACCACCAGGGGGCAGCACGAAACATGACAGGCATCGGCGACGCAGCGCTGGCAGTGAAAGGCTGCCGGCCCCGGTAAGAGCAGGACAGTGGAGCAGGAGAGCAGGCGGCGCCAGGCCAAGGTGGGTGCGAGCAGGGGCCCGACTGCCCCATCAATTACCCCACAGACTGCGACCATAGGCGGGGGGCAGGGCTGCCACCTGGCTCCCAGGTGCCGAGGGAGCCGGGTGGAGGACCTGGTCCTGATTGATCACCCCGCAGGGCGGGATGGTGGAGCAGGTGAGGATGGCGCCAGGCCAAGACGGGGTGGCAGGAAAGGCTGCAAGGCTGGGGCAAGAGCTAGGGCTGCGAGGATGGAGCCCGATTCCCGCAGGCCACCCGGAGGGACCCCACCCATGCATAAATTCATGCACCGGGCCTCTAGTGTGTGTGTGTGTGTGTGTGTGTGTGTGTGTGTGTGTGTGTATAAAAAGGCTAATATGCTAAGTGTCCTTCCCACCGTCCGACTGGTTGCTATGATGTGCACTGACCACCATGGGGCAAATGCTCAATGCACTAGCTGCCAAGCTGCAGTGACTTGGCAGCAGCGGTTCTCGGGTGACACACCCTGAAACCAGAAAGGAGGGAGCCCAATTCCTCACGGGGCCACGTGATTCCACCTTCGGCAGTGGGTTATGTTGTTGCTAGGCACTGAGGGCCCCAAATCTGGTTTACTGCACACTTGAATTTGCGCTCCACACCCTGTACGACAGCAACTTTGCAGAGTGCCCTCTCGCACTCTGGGACCCCTTGGCGGATGTCAGAGAGCCGGTTTCCGCCCGATCCCCACAGGCCAGGCCGAGGGACCCCACCTGCCGGAGGGACCCGGCTCACTCCACAGAAGCCAGGGAGGGACCATGGGAGGTTGGCTCCAGGGCGTGTCCAGCCCTTCTCGCCCAGTCCCGCCCCACCCGAAACCTTCTAATTAATTTCCTTTCAATGTGCACGAATCCATGCACCAGGCCACTAATCCTATATAATAGAAGCGTAATATGCAAATCAACCGAATGGCAGAACAACTGGTCACTATGATGCGCACTGACCATCAGGGGGCAGACACTCAACGCAGGAGCTCCACAGTGGGAGCACTGCTGAGCCAGAAGCCAGGCTCACAGCTGGCAAGTGCAGTGGCGGGAGCCTCTCCCGCCTCCGCTGCAGATGGGCAGTAAGGAGTGAGGGGGTCCCAGACTGCGAGAGGGATGTCTGACTGCCAGCTTAGGCGGACACCTGAGGGGTGGTCCTGGACTGCAAGAGTGCGCAGGCCGGGCTGGGGGGCACCCCCCCCCCCCCCCCCCCCAGTACACAAATCTTGTGCACCAGGCCTCTAGTTTAAATATAAAGCAGTTTAAATATAAATATTTCCACTGCTTAAACGGCTTTTTAAACTACACATTTTACACATACCAAGTAGCCACCAGCAGGCATTCTGGGATGCCTAGATTACTGCAGTAGTCAAAGGCAGAAATGTTTCTATATGCAAAATCAATAGTTTTTAGGATTATCATGTTTTGACAAAATAATCCCATCCTCCTATTTTTAATTACTGACCTGTCTTTCTACCCCTTAGAGCAGTTTTTCCCAAGTCTGGTGCTCAGACCACTGCTTCAGTAAATAGGTGGGTTTCCAGGGTTACTGATTCCTGTGTTCTACAATCTGAGCCTGAGGCTGCAGTTACCAACCAGTTTTTTACAACTCTCCAAGAGATTCTTAGGCTTACTAAACTCTGAGAACCACTAACTTAGAGCCTTTTAACTGGCTTAATACAGATATTAAGTAATTCGTTAGCACCTCTTGCTCCACTTAATGTACTAAGTACTAAATCTCAGGGACTCAATTCTCCTTTCCACAACCAATCTTCTCAAACTCCCATCTCCCTGCCTTTACAAATTGTGTGTCACTGTGCTGGGAGGGGATGAGAACGAGAAGAGGAATATTTTGAGTATCTTCAGTCCAAATCTATTTACTTGCAATTCTTTCTGAGAGTTCTGAATTGGCTGTTTTTAAAGAAGATTTAAAGTCTCTCTTCCAAATTCCCTTTCCTCAATGGAGATTTCCTCACAGAGCAGCGGTTCTCAACCTGTGGGTCACGACCCCTTTGGCGGTCGAACAACCCTTTCACAGGGGTCGCCTAAGCCCATCCTGCATATTGGATATTTACATGACGATTCATAACAGTAGCAACATTACGGTTATGAAGTAGCAACAAAAATAATTTTATGGTTGGGTCACAGCATGAGGAACTGTATTTAAAGGGCCAGAAGGTTGAGAACCACTGTCACAGAGGGTTAACAAAACGAAATTTTTTAAATGCTGCATTCTCACTCCTTCAGCACAATGAAACAAAACATAGATTTACTGGTACCACCAGTGCTTTAGAGCAGAATGGGAACTGTCAGGAGTCCTGGTGGTTAAGAGAAACCGGAAAGGTGTTTAACCCCTAGAGTGCCGGGGAGCGCGATCGCACTCCTCCTGCAGTGTCACTATTAGATGCTAGTAGTTCACTCTTTATTGACAGATGGCACCTAAGTGCAGATTTCCTAAACTGCTGTAAAATCAGCAAAAATGCCTTGGCAATTTCAGCATAGTTACTAGGATATTGGTTGGCTCAAAGGGTTAAGAAAAAAGCAGCCATTATCCAATCTGTTACAGTAAAAGTGTAAGATAATTTACTGCATCCCCACCTATTACTCAGAAAAGCATAATGGATTAAAAAAAAAAATCAAGGAAGGCCTTAGAAATTGATCCTAGCTTCACTCACACTACCAATGTCAGGGTCTCCTCCTGCTCCTTGTGCCATTAAGCCAAACTAGTCTTAGAACAAATCCTTCTAGCTCCAGTTTCCATGAAAATTTCACAGCAGAGAGTAGTATAGTTGTCTTTACACTTGAACCTTGATTATCTTTAAGTTATAACATCTTTTAGGTCCTGGAAATGTACTAATTGCTATAGTTATAACAGTAGTACAATCTTGTGGTCAGTATATAGACAGCATCAGAAGCTAACAAGTAGTTTCAATTCTTTTAATAAGTACAGGTGATCCTTGAACAACATAGCTTTGAACCGCACAGCCCATCTATAAGCTGATTTTTTTCAATAAATATAGTTGGCCCTTCGTATCCACAGACTTCTCATCAATCAAAGAAGCCAGCCATCTCCAGATTCAATCAACCATGGATCGAAAACAGTATTTCACATTCCCAAGAGCAGTTTCCCAACCAGGGATCTCAACCATGGATCAAAAGACTGTTTTCGATAGGTTGAATCCACAGACTCAAAGGGCCGAATGGAGAGTTAAAAGTTGAAAGTATAACTACTATTATGTAAAAGCTTGCAAAATGGAAGACTAGAGGACAA